TCTTTCTTTCTTTCTTTCTTTCTTTCTTTCTTTCTTTCTTTCTTTCTTTCTTTCTTTCTTTCTTTTTCTTTCTTTCTTTCTTTTTCTTTTTTCTTTCCTTTCTTTCTTTCCTTCCTTTCTTTTTTTCTTCTTTCCTCTCTCTCTCTCTCTTTCCTTTCCTTTCCTTTCCTTTCTTTCCTTTTCTACATCCCTATATGACTCACTTTCTACAATATTTGGTGCTTATTATATCAAAACTGTGGCAGGGCTATGTTATAGCTGAACTGGCTGTGAACCCAAGGTTAAAAATGCATCTCTCCCAATCTGGAAATATATCAAGCAAGCTGGTTGCATCGAAGTAACCTCAGTCCAGAGTTTGTTACTCATGGAAGAGCTGTCAACCCTCTTCTAAACACACACACACACACAGAGAGAGAGAGAGAGAGAGAGAGAGAGAGAGAGAGAGACAGACAGACAGACAGACAGACAGAGACAGACAGAGAGAGAGAAAGAGAGAGACCATGCCATATAGAAGAAACGGATTTTGATGACAGAAATTACATCTTTCTCATACTATGCAAGCTACTTAACCTCATAGATTTTATGCAGATTTCCTTTCTAATTATCTGCTTTAAAAGAACCTCTCATTTCTTGCAAGTACCTGAGTTACAATAAAGGGAGATGGGAGAGGTACTTTGGATAGTAAGATGGGTTTCATATAAATTGGATAAATGAAAGAATTAATGAAAGAAAGAAAAAAGTTGTTTCTTTCTTCGGTGTTTCTCCATAACTTAACAATAGCAGTAGTATTAGATTTATATACCGCTCCATAGTACTTTATAGCAGGGGGCCACAGCCCTGGGCCAGGGCCCATTTGGAATCAGGCCACACAAGTGGCAGGTGAGCAACAAGTGCTCACACTCACATTAGAAATTCCCCATGTGCAACGGCAGGCGCTTGCACACGACCCTTGTGTAGCAGTGAGCAGCAGTGCACGTCTGCTGCTTGCACAGAATCATCCCCCTCTCCCCTCCCCAGCAATCCACTTATATAGATAGTCCTTGACTTACAACAGTTCACTTAGTGACCGTTCAAAGTTACAACGGCACTGAAAAATGTGACTTACGACCCTTTTTCATACTTAACAACTTTTGCAGCATCCCCATGATCATGTCATCAGAATTCGGATGCTTGGCAACTGACTCATATTTATGACTGTTGCTATGTCCCAGGGTCATGTGATTCCTCTTTTGCGACTTTCTGGCAAGCTTATTCAATGGGGAAGCCAGATTCACTTAACAACCGGATTATTCAGTTAACAACCACTGTGATTCACTTAGCAACCATGGCAAGAAAAGTCGTGAAAATGGGGCAAAATTCACTTAACAAATGTCTCACTTCGCGACAGAAATTTTGGGCTCAGTTGTGGTCATAAGTCGTGGACTACCTGTACTTATGAAAACTATTTAAGCCAGAGGATGGATTAGCGTTCTGCAGTGCTTTGGGCACATTCCAAAGAACTGACATTGACTTTCCCATATGTTCTGCCCTGCAGAAAAATAGCTTTTTTTCCTCTCAGTGACTCAGTTTAATACCATCATAAGCTGCAAGGGTGTTTATTCTGACCTTGAGGGGATCCTCGGGGTCTCATAATGTGATGGGCATTTCCTCTCCTTTTAACGGAGAATAAAGGGCTTTGAGATTTGGGGCTTTCAGGAAGATACAATTCTTCTATGTTACCAACTCCGGAAACTGCTTCATCCATAAAAAAAAATGATTGATATTTTTTCTCTTGTTCTATTTTATTATTTTTCATCTGTATTGCAACCTTGTCCTTTGGGTGCAAATCATGAAGGATGGTATATATGAATGGCCCTACATCAAGAAATAAGTTAAACGGACTTCCCGTTGCAAGGCTTCGGCGGCGGCAGGAATCCGCTTCTCTGCGGGTCCCTGCTCCGCTCGCCATCGAGGTACCGCCGATCCAACTGGATTTGGGGGTTGTCGCTGCCCTGAAGGGGTTTTGCTTTAGGTTATGTATTTTGTGTGCTTATGACTGATTGAGAATTACTAAAACTTTGATAGAAAGAAATATAATTGAATAAAAGTGAAGGGAGAAATAATGAGAAATTTGGAAAAGATATATGTGTAAATGGAAATGTGATAATGTGGAACTATGTTTTTAAAAAATAATGCTTTATTTGCCTTGTTAAAATTTATAAGTAATTCTTAGAAAGGAGGTTTTATACTTTTATGTGTTATGTTTTGTTTGTCTTCAAAAATCAATAAAACTTGTTCTTAAAAAAAAAAAGAAATAAGTTAAACTTTCCCTAATAGATAACAGTATTTATCCAATCCAGGTAATAGGAACTGAAAGAACTATATTCGGAATTTCTGTATACAAATAAAAAAATTAAGTAGCACGGTTCTATTTTTATACACTGCAGCTATATCTCATCCAATCTCCTTGGAGATTCGGTGCAATGTATGTGACCTTTATGCCCCATTGCATTATGATTTCCTCACAACTTAGCAACGTAGGTTGAGAAATAATCACCAGTCTCAGATAATCCAATGAGATCCCAAGCCAAGTGCAGTTTAGATTTGGTATCCTTAATCTTTTTTAGCTTTAATCTGACAGATGTACTAAAAAGGCCTTCAATAACTTTCCAGGCCTTTCCGAGAACCAGTACCTCAACCATTTTTATTTGGAGATGCTGGACCTCAATTCACAGTCTCCAACCCCTGGTCCATGGATCAGCACCGGGCCACAGCATGCCAGAAATTGGGCCGCCCAAACAAACATAGCCGCATCTGCGGGATACAGGCCCCCTCTGGCCCACGGAGAAGCCTCTCTCCATGGACCCTGTCCCTGGTGCCCCAAAAGCTGGGGATTGCTGGCCTTGCAGTTAATTACAGGTAGCCCTGAATCCACACAGAGGCAGGTTTTTCCAATAGATCTTATTCTGGAGCATCCCTTCCTACCAGAGGCTTGTGGTTGGGGAATTCTGAGAGTTGAAGTTCACAGGTTTTAAAAGTTGGATAACACCTGACTTAAGAGGACAGGTACTGTTAGGAATATGAGTCACCTAACAGCTATTTGGGTTAGAAATATATAAACCAGGATAAACATTTTAAAACTGTAACTTTAAGAAAATGCAAAACTGTAATTAGGTGTGGTTTCTCAAATGGCCATAAGATGGAGCCAGAAACCTGGTTTGTTTAGTCTTAGTCTCAGAAGAGAGTGTGTCTGAGTGAGTATCTCTGTTTCCTTTTGTTGGAAAGTATTGCCGTTGCTCCATTTCTTCTAAATGACTGATATTACTGGATTTAATGTAAGTCTGATACTGAACTGTTTTTGACACTGGAATTTGATATTTGAATTATCCCTGGATGAAAACTGACTGATTTTACCTGTGAATGACTTTTGGGTTGCTTATTTTGGACTTTGCTTAAACCTTTCTGGAAATAAAAACCTGCATTTACTGTACAGTGTATCTGTGTGCTCTGCGTGTATTATTCCAACACTACTCTCTATACGTCTCCCTGTATGCGCTCATTCTCCTAACGGGGAATTACCTCAACAGGTACTCTAGTTGTTCTGACTCGAAGGAGTAGCATTTTGACCTGGAAGATATTCAGGGAGCTTCACTCGTGTGAGCGGCGGGAGTTCACGCGCAAAGCTCTATTTGTGTGAGGGACAAATGCACCTGCTCTCCACTCCCACAATTGGACTTGTACAAGCATTCACCTGCCACCCACAAGGAACCATTCTCTCTCCCCACCCCACTCCCCTGTGCTGGGCCCCCAAACTAGAAAGGTTGGGGACGCTGCTCCGAACAGAAACAACTAATTTTTATTTATTTTATTTATTTTAGAAAATGTATATTGCCGCCTACTTGGGCGAGTCAAGGCAGCTTATATGAATATACTAGCTCGATACCTGTGCTTTGCTACAAAACTATGTGGTCAGGCTTAGTTTTGGGGGAGGAAAATAAGGAAAAAGAATCTGCCTCTGTCTACCAGCATCCATCAGTATTCATCTGGCTAGCGTCCTGTCAGTGTGTGAGAGACTTGAGGGCTGTTTGGAAACTGAAACATGGAAACTGAAAGAGTATTTGTTGTGTGAGCAAGGAGACAGCAAGGAGCTTGGGCGTGGCTTAACTCAATTGTTCTGTACCAAAGCTGCTTGGTGCTATGAAAGTAAAACTGAAACTGAAATTCCTCTCCTCTGCTTGTGTTTTGCATTTGGAACAGATTTCTTTTCAGGTGGGGAAGGGGAGTAAAACTCCTTAGCATCAGAGCGTGTTAATAATACACAAAATACTAATGCTCTGATGGTCATTTCAAAAAATCCTTTCTTAGTGAGCCCCTAGAAGCCAAGAGGAACATACGTGCCAAATTTCAAGTTTGTAGGCTTTATGGTTCTGGAGATTTTGTGATGATGCATGAATAGTATTTCGCTTTTATATATACAGAAATATACTTTAAATAACTAAGTTTTCAGAAATTCCCGCTTTTGTTGCAGGCATACAGGTAGTTCTTGACTTACGGCCATTTGCTTAGCAACCATGAAAAATTCTAATGGCAATAAAGCAAGTGACTTATGACTGGATGTGCACTTAACCGTGGTGGTGCAGTGGTTCGAATGGAGTGCTGCAGGCTACTTCTGCTGACTGCTGGCTGCCTCCAATTTGGCAGTTCGAATCTCACCAGGCCCAAGGATGACAAAATTTTCCATCCTTCCGAGGTAGGTAAAATGAGGACCCAGCTTGTTGGGGGCTATATGCTGACTCTGTAAACCACTTAGAGAGGACTGGAAAGCACCATGAAGTGGTATATAACTCAAAGTGCTATAGCTAAGTGCTATCAAACTGTTGTGACATTCCTCACTGTCACATGACCAAAATCTGGGTGATTGGCAACTGTCATTTACAATGGTATTTACAATGGTTGCAGCATCCTGGATTCATGCGCTCACCGTTTGCACCTACCCCAGCTGGTTTCCAACAAGTAAAGTCAAAGAGGGAAGCTAAGATCTGCTTAAGGATCACTTGATTTGCTTAACAACTGCAGTGATTCATTTAACAACCATGGCAAAAAAAGGTCATAAATTTGGTTACAATTCACTTAACAACTACCTTGCTTAGCAATGGAAATTCTGGTCCCAATTGGGGTCATAAAATGAGGACTACCTTTAACTCCATTGAATTTCATTGAATTTGAACTTTTAATTTCATAGTACACAGGTTGTGCATTGACAATAAATGTTTGATTGATTGATTGATTGAAACCCTTTATATTCTAGGATCTTCACCAGACCCAAATTTAACCAGTGACAGAGAGCACTAGAAAGCCCAAAGAACACTGATCTTGGAAGGTTCTGCATTGGATAAAACTTACCTATAGATTTACTCTCCGATGGCTGCTCCAGTTCTCGAAAAGCACTGTATTTATCTCCATAATCTATAGTGCATTTTTAAAAAAAGAGAATGTAGTTAAAATTCTGATAGAAAGCCACAAATTTACTGTTCTGTAGTAGCATGCAGCTGATATTTTATTTTCATTCATCCATCCATCCATCCATCCATCCATCCATCCATCCATCCATCCATCCAATTGTTACGCCACCCATCTCCCACACAAGGTGACTCTGAACAGCTTGCCAAGTTATAATATATTATTGGAAGACTTTCAAGTTTTTGCGAGAGCCAGTTCTGACAAGAACACATTGCCTCGATCCAAATTAGTCAGTTATCAAAATGGATGGTAAGTAGTCCTGCCCAAAACAGAAGGGCTTTGAGCCTATCTTCCAGGTAGAATGGAATATAAGTTTAGAGCTCTGATGCTCGCAAATTATTCTTGGAGCGGGGTTTGCACAGAGGAAGAGGAGGTTGTTCTGGTTCACCGGCAGCTGGTGCGGACGGCAGAGGTATCGGATAGTGAGGACAAAAGGGAACTAGTCAGGGAATCTGGCGAGGACTTGGACGAGGGTCCTGCATCCGATGCAGGGATGGGGCCAGGACCATCTGGGAGTGGGGTACTGCCTTTGGAGCCTTCGGTGTCTGGCAGCAGAGGACCCCAGGGAGCCTGTTCCAAATGCACGTGTGCAGAGGGCTGCTAGAAGGCGAGAGCAGCTGAAGCAGCGGGGGCGACTTGGGAGTAAGGCTGGGAGGTGATTGCCTCTCCCATAAGGGATAAAAGTCAGCCCTTGGTGATGTGCTCTTTGCAGGAAGCAAAGAAGTTCATTAGATTCTGATTCCTCATTATTTTTTTTATTTATTGAGATGTATTCTGTGTTCTTGGGTAGGCTGCACCAAGGAAGGCTCATTCAATCTCATTATAAACATGTGCATTGACGATAGAGGTTTGAACTTGAACTTGGAGAATAGCTTGACTCCCTTTCCTTTGTGGCAGCCCCTGAGATATTGGAACACTGCTATTGTGTCACCCCAGTCCTTCTTTTCATCAAACTAGACATCATACCCAATTCCAGCAACCATTCTTCAAATGTTTTAGCCTCCAGTTCCCTAATAATCTTTGTTGCTCTTCTCTGCACTCTTTCTAGGGGACCAAAACTGGATCCAGAATTCCAAGTGTGGCCTTACCAAGGCATTATAAAGGGGTATTAACACTTCACACGATTCTATCTTGATTCTATCCCTCTGTTGATGCAGCCTAGAACCGGTTATTATTTGATTGTTTATCTGGATTGGTAGTGCCTTGATTGGGGCATTGTTTACTGCTTGATTGTTGTTCTAGTGTTCATCTTGGTACTGAATCCCTGCTCAGCTGGGTGTTGATTCCTGATTAAGAGGTGTTTTGGTCTGTTTTCTTTTTCATTTTTTGATTGTCCCTTTCAAATGTAAGAAAAGCGGAGGAGAAAAATTTCACATTTACAAATGTAACTTTTTCGCGGGGGGTGGAAATATCCAAGTACCTTCAGCAGGCCTGTCAGATGCAATCCCTTTAAAAACAGCATATTTATCCACAGCAGGTGTCACTTTGGGGCCTGAAAGGGGTATCAGCATTGAAGGAGCACTAAAGAAAGGAAAGAAATAAAGTTGACACATAATTGGAAAAGGAGGGATATTAGATCCAGGTAGTCCTTGACTTATACGTTCATTTAGGAACTGTCTGAAGTTACAACTACACTGAAAAAAGGATTTATGACCATTTTTCACACTTAGGACCACTGCAGCATCCCCATGGCCAAGTGGTCAAATTTCAGATGCTTGGCAATTGACTCATGTTGCAGTGTCCTGCGGTCATGTGATCACCTTTTGTGATCTTCTGACAAGCAAAGTCAGTGGGGATGCCAGATTCACTTAACAATTGGCTTCCAAGATGGCGGCGGGAACCTGGAAGGTGAAACAGGACAGGCCGCCACTGGGCGGTTATGGACCAATCGACTATAAGAGACGATTGCCCTATCGGGGGCTCCTGGATTATGGCCTTCTTGCCATTGGACTTGAAGCTTTTGTTTTTGGAACCTATGTTATTTTCAGGTGGAACTGGGAGAGAGGACACCTGGCCTTTGAGGACGCGGAAGCCAGGGTGATGCCTCTCTTGATGGCTGAGGGGGACCGGAGGACACTGCGTCTTATGTGTCATAACTTGGATGAGGAAGCCAAGATCATGAAAGACGTCCCTGCCTGGCAGGTTGGGGAGTCCGTCTACCATACCACACGCTGGGTGGCGCCCAGAGCTGATGAGCTGTACTTCTTTCAGCCATCAAAAGTTCAAGAGGATATCTTCTCGGTTACACCTGGAGCACGTAAGCAGACATAGTTGTGGAAGGACCCACGTCTCTTGCTTTCCCAGGACGGAACACTTAACAATTGTACTGATTCACTTAACAACTGTGGCAAGGAAAGTCGTAAAATGCAGCAAAACAGTAACAGTAACAGTAACAGTAACAGTAATAGTAACAGTAATAGTAACAGAAATTTTGGGCTCAATTGTAAGTCAAGGACAATCTATATTGGGATAGACATGGGATAATCCTCATCATGATCAAGATCAGTTCTGGTCACGCAGCAATTTTACTCAGAATAAAACATGGGCTATGGGACACATATCAGAATGAAGGAAGCCACAAAGAACAGGTATGTCCAATGCCTGCCAATCTTTATGTTAAACATTTTCTGAAAATATTTTTGGAACAACTACTTAGAATATCGAAAATCAGTTTGCCACCTACAAACATTCTGTCACAAAATCACAGCTCTTTTCTTAAGTGGCATATTTTAACTTTTAAAAAGGAGCCAGCATCTGAATAAACTAGAAGGTACAGAATTAGTGAATAACAGAATAACAAAGTTGGAAGGGACCTTGGAGGTCTTCTAGTCCAACCCCCTGCTCAAGCAGGAAGCCCTATACCATTCCAGACAAGTAGCTATCCAGTCTCTTCTTAAAAGCCTCCAGTGTTGGATTAATTGTGAAATACAAGTAGTCCTCAACTTACGACCACAATTGAGACCAATATTTCTGTTGTTAAGTGAGATATTTGCTTAAGTGAGTTTTGCCCCATTTTACAACTTTTGTTGTCACAATTGTTGTGAATCTGGCTTCCCCATGGAAATTGCTTGTTAGAATGGAATGGAATAGAATAGAATAGAATAGAATAGAATAGAATAGAATAGAATAGAATAGAATAGAATAGAATAGTTGCAATCGTCATGAATACTGGTGTGAGTCAGTTGCCAAGTGACCATGGGGATGCTGCAATGGTCATAAATGTAAAAGACTAGCGTAAGCCCCTTTTTTCAGTGCTGCTGTAATGTTGAGTGGTAGCTAAATGAACTGTTGTAAGTCCAGGACTGCCTGTACTTGGATCGACGTAGAATTCATCCAGAAAAGAAGTCCAGTTGCCATGACTCCACATCTATGGAAATGTGACTCAGTTCTGTGCAGAGTCTCTAAGCTTGTTATTTTATCATGGATCAAACTGTTCATCGTTGATCAAGCCTCCATGGAGCGCTCCCAAAGGAAAGCCTTTTAAGCAATTAATCTTGCTAAAGAATTACATTAATCCTGAGGAAATGATCGATTAGAACCAGTTCCTGATGAAACTCCTTCTTCCCATATTCTGACATTTGATTCAAACTGCCATTCAGATCAATGGAGTGATTACCTATAATGACTATGATCACGGTAATGATGACTTGATTGAGCCTTTCAAAATAATCAGAACCACCAATCTATTAAATTTAGCGATGAGCATTTAACGTTTGCTTTAAATCTTAGTTAGACAGCAGAAGAACATTTTTCATTATTTTTCTTCTTTTTATTTTCCCAGGCCTTTTAAACTCTTTTAGCGCCTCCAGTGTAGCACTGTTCTTTTTAATGCTCCTTTAGGTGCTTCTCTTATTCTGCTGTGTTGCTACATTATTTATCCGGGTATCAGTTTACTCAGTTTCGTGAGCTACCTTGAGAATAGGGGAAGGCAGGATAGAAGAGAGAGGAAATGAAGGAAGTACGGGTAGTCCTCGACTTACAACCGTTTGTTTAGTGACCGTTTGAGGTTACAATGGCACTGAAAAACCCGGCTGGCCCTCATACGTATGACTCTTGCAGCATCCCCATGGTTGCATGATTCTTTTATTTCTTTATTCTTTATTGGACAAGCGTGATTGGACACCCAAGGAATTGGTCTCTGCTGCATAAGCTCTCAGTGTACATACAAGCAACAAGTGATAAATCTTGACCGTAATCATAAAACACCATCTTCGTAAAACATAAGATACAGTTGCTTAGTAAACAACATTTATGATCGTTGCTTCCCCAGCCTCTAGCAGCACTCTAGCAGTCACTAAATGAACTGTTGTAAATCAAGGACTACCTGTAATGTAGCTTTGATCCAAGACGAAGAATGCAATACTTAATGAGGATTGGTTTGCCGAAGATGGCTACCATCCTTCTCATTAGCTGAGAATAATGTACACGGCCCAAAAATGGCAACCAGGTCCAGAGATTCACAATCTCAGCAACTTTAAGATGCGTGCCATGCTGGCTGGGGGATTCTGGGAATTCAAGTCCATGCATTCCAAAGTGGTCGAGGCTGAGAGATACTGACCTGGTCTACATCTTCTCAGCTTGGATTAAAAAACGTTATGCAAAAAACGATGGTTACATGAGAGTGTCAAATTTTCTACCTGCTCCGCTGCTGTGCTGCTAACGTTTTCTTGGATCCAGGCGCTTCCCCTTGAAAATCTGTAAAAGTATCATCAAGTCCACCTGACTTGGACGCATCTTGGAAATCCTGGAAGTCGTCATCATCTGTTTTTGCAACCTAGAGATTTGGAGGAGACATAAGAGCTTTTTGCAGGAGAATAGAATAGAAACAGAATAGAATAAGAATAGAAATAGAATAGAAAAGAATTAGAATAGAAAAGAATTAGAATAGAAATGAATTAGAATAGAATAGAATAGAATAGAATAGAATAGAATAGAATAGAATAGAATAGAATAGAATTTAGAGTAGAAGAGAAGAGAAGTTGGAAGGGACCTTGGAGGTCTTCTAGTCCAGCCCCCTCCTCAGGCAGGAAACCCTACAATCATTTCAGACAAATGTCTGCAAAAAACCAGATTGCAATAGCAATAGCACTTAGAATTATATACCGCTTCACAGTCCTTTACAGCCCTCCCTAAGCGGTTTACAGAGTCAGCCTATTGCCCCCCAATATCTGGGTCCTCATTTTACCCATCTTGGAAGGCTGAGTCAACCTTGAGCCTGATGGGATTTGAACTGCCAAACTGCAGGCAGCCAGCAGTCAGCAGAAGTAGCCTGCAGTACTGCACTCTAACCACTGTGCCCCAATGGCTCTCCTAGGCTCAGAGAGCAAGAAGGACCCCCTCATTTCAATTTTACGCTACAAATACCCTCCTTTATCAGTGTTTTGTTTTTGACTATGGCTTCTGTAGGATTTTATTATTTTATTTGTAAACTGCCTAGTGTGACACAATGTGGGTACAGATATTGGATAAATCCAATAATCCTGATACAGATTAAAACCAAATAGCTTCAAAGCTACTCAGTACGTACCTACAGTTCATCCACGAGCTACAAATATTCTTTTTAAAATTAAAAACTTATATACCTTGATAGGTAAAAGGTCCTTTCCTACACAAAGCAAATTTAAAAATCCCACCTCTGGTTGTCTTCTACTTTAGTTGGGTCAAGAAATCTGGAGTCAAATTGAATAAATGCACAGATTTATGCGTAGATCCAGATTTCCCTGGAATTTCAATTTGTTCTGTAAGAACAGACCTGAAACCCTCAGATATTGCTGCACCCTAACTTCTATCATCCATGACCTTTGGCCATGTTGCCTAAGGCTGATGGGCGCTGGAACTCCATGATATGAGCTCAGTTCTCGTTTAGGCTTTTATAGACCAAACCAACAGAATTGAATTCAATAACTTTTTTCCAATTGTCAAGTGGAGCATTTCATTTCTACCAAATAAAAGGCTGCCCCAAAGAGGAGGGGGGTCAATTTATTTTCCAAAGCACCCAAAGGCCAGGCAAGAAACAATGGATGGAAACTAATCAAGGAGAGGAGCAACCTGGAATTAAGGAGAGAAACTTCCTAACGGTGAGGTCAATTAACCACTGGAACAGTTCGCCACCAGAAGTTCTAGATGCTCCACCATTGCAGGTTTTTAAGAAAAGACTTGAGAGTCACTTCTCTGAAATGTATAGGGCCCAGGCGTCAAACTTGCAACGTTTTTCCCCTTCACGGACCTGGGGTGAGCATGGATCCCGCATGACGCATCTGGCCCATGGACCACCAGTTTGATACCCCTAGTATAGGGTCACTTGCTTGAGCAGAGGACTGGACTAAAAGGTCCCTTCCAGATCTATCCTGATTGATTGAAAACCTGAAAGCTTTGTTGTTCATATATACCTAAGAACAAATCATTTTTTATTTTTAGTCCATGAATTTATACGGTTGATAAGGTCCTACACTATTGTTGTGGTTCGTTGTTGTTGTGGTGCGGCTGGCTGAGGTCTCAGAGAGTGAGGACTCAGATGAGGGGCCTGCGTGTGATGCAGGGATGAGGCCAGGACCATCAGGGAGTGGAATGCTGGCTTTGGAGATTGTGGAGGCTGGCAGCAGTGATGAAGAGCCCACCGAGGAGCCTGTGCCAAGTGCACGTACGCTCAGGGCTGCTCGAAGGAAAGAGCAGCTATAGCAGCACAGGTGACTTGGGAGTAAGGCTGCAAGGTGATGGCCCCACCCTTAAGGGATAAAAGCCAGCTGAGAAACTGGAGTTCTTTGCAGGAAGCAAAGAAGTTTTTGCACTCAAGCCTTGTGGACATTTGGACTCTCTTAGTTTGTGTTTGGAAACTCTTTGTGTTTGAAATATTTCTTAGTAACTTTATCTAATGTTCTTGGCAGCCTTGTACCACCTTGGCAAGGCTCATTCTTATCAGAGATAATTAATTTGAAACAGCCTTTTCAGAACAGAATTCAGGAACAGAATTCGTAAAGAATCATTAAAAGGTTTTTCTCCTCTGTTTCGTGTTTGTTTCCTTGGAACAAGGTTTGGATCAGAACAATTGACATATTGCAGAGGAGAAAGGAATGTCCGTCTACAGCAGAAATCAGTTTTCTGAACAAGCCTGCCTCCCTTTCTTTTAATGAGCTGCTGCTCCAAAATAATTGGTCTAGGCCAGGAGCGAGTATGGCAACTTGACGACCTGTGGACTTCAACTCCCAGAATTCCATGGGAAGCATACAAAATTACAGAAGCTTAAAAATAACTGTCTCTAAATTAGTACCATAAGCATGGTTGGCTCAGGAATTCTGGGAACTGAAATCCACAGGTCATCAAGTTGCCATACAGAACGGTAGCGGGATCCTACCTGTTCCACTACCAGTTTGGTGATCGCACGTGCGCGCGCACACCTAATGCGTGCGCAGCTTTCCACACACCAGTTGAGGCCTGCAGCGCCAATCAGCTGAGAGGATAAAGGAGAGAAAAGCACAGGGATGAGCCGGAGGGCCGATCCTACACTTTTCTCTTCTTTCTCCTCTCAGTTTTTTTTCTTCCTCTCAGCTGATCCTGGGAGGCTTTTTTTTACTACTAGTTCAGCTGCACCGGGCCGAACCACTAGCATACCATCCCTGATACAGAATAATAGAATGACAGAGTTGGAAGGGACCTTGGAGGTCTTCTAGTCCAACCCCTTGCTCAAGCAGGTGACCCCCATGGCATTTCAGACATATGGCTGTCCAATCTTCTTAAAAACCTCTACAGCCTTCACAAAATCTGGAGGCAAGTTGTTCCACTGATTAATTGTTCTAACTCTAAGGAAATTTCTCCTTAGTTCCAGGTTGCTTCTCTCCTTGATTAGTTTCCATCCGTTGCTTCTTGTCCTTCCTCCATCCCTGACCGAGATAATATATTCAGACAGATGCTTGAATTCCATGGCTGAAAGTCAAAACCTAAAAGAACAAGCTATCTTAAACCATGAATAAAGATACCTTGTGATGAGGAATATATCAACACTAACCTGGTTTGCAGGGAAAGGCTGGATGAAACTGCTGGAAGCCTGAGTGGTGGCTCCACCCACTGGCGCCACCATGTTGATCCCCACCACTGTTGGTCCTATACTAAGAGGCATGGAAACTGGTGGCCCAGGAGGCATCAAAGGCTGTTGGCTCACTGTGACAGGGATGGCCATCTGAAGCCCGCTTAAGGTAGGGATGGGGGCAGAAGGAAACTGGTTTAAACCTTCGGGGCTCATGGCTGGTACTCCTCTCTGTATGAAGGAGGGAAAGACGCAGAAAACAGAGCGTTCGCACAACCAAGTCCATTAAAGCATTTGCACACCACCTAAAACGTAATCGGCGCTTACGTTAGTTTTGGCTTAATGTTGTTTTGTGTAAACGGTTGTGAGTAAACCAGCTTGGCTAGCTTGCTTCAGCGTGTTGTGAAAACCCAGAAAATGAATTACAAGAAGGCTTTGTGTTACCGTTGGTTGCTTAGCAACTGTTCAAAGTTATGGTGGAACATTATAACCCAGACGTCACCCTCCCTGGTCCCGTGATCACATTCTGGATGCTCCGCAACTGTCCTGCATTTATGGCTGTTTGCAGTGTCCCGCGGTCCCGTGACCCCAATTTACGTTTCTGCTAGAAATCATTTATTTCTGGTTTCCAGCAAAACCTGCCCCATAGCAAACAGGTGGTTTGCTTAACAAGCGTGGCAGTTGTTTAACAACAGGGGAGTCTGCTTAGCAGCTGCTGCAAAAAAAAAAAGTCTGAAAATTGGGTTTGGCCATGTGGTGTCCCTCTTTTAACAACCGGCACCATTAATTATGACCATTAATTGCCAGGCTCAATTACGATTGTAACCCAAGGACTACCTGTAATGCAATAAAAAATCAGCTACTTTGTTTATGTACCAGGTGACTCTACAAATTAGAAAATAAACACACACAAAAATATTTAAAATATTACATGATTTAAAACTGAACAGATGATTACAAAACTATACCAAAACCAGGATCAAGACACAGGCGTGAATGAGATCTTCTTACCCCGTCAGCCACCTCAGTGGTGAGCTTCAGGATTATAGGCCAAACGACAAAACCGAAAGCCCCGGCCAGATGGCAGAGCCAAGTTTTTAGGATCTCCTGGAAAGCCGGGAGAGTCCATCAGGGCAGGCCTGACCTCCAGCAGGAGAATATTAAAGAGGGTTGGGGGCCACCACGGAAAAGGACCTGCCAGCCAACCTTCTTTGACAGATGGGATCTGAGGTCCTTTTTGCTGAAAGAGGTTGGATGGGATAGTCCAGGGGTGTCAAACTTAAGGTCCGTGGGCCAGATCCAGCCCATGGGGTGCTTAGATCTGGCCCATGAGGCTGTCCTGGAAACAGCAAAGGACTGGCCCGCGGCGCCTCTGCCAGTGAAAACGGAGCTCGGGAGGGCCGTGTGCAGCCCTCCCGAGTGTCAGGATTCCGGCAGTTACTCCAATTAAATCGTGAGCCTCGAGCCACACTCCTAAAACTGCAAAGGATTTATTAGAAGTTAACATGCCGGCATTAGCCTGGGCGTTGCTGACTCTGAGATACATAATTCACTGTCACCCTTGATCCTGCTTTCCCCCCCACCCCTCTGGGATTATCATCCAACAAAATATGTCCATAGTCAAGAGTCATCAATCATGGCCTCCAATTAGATTTTTGCGTGGCAGAAGCTTCAGTCGTCTAATCAGTCTCTGAAGAAAATATGAATGGAATGCACTTTCGATTCCACACTGCTGCCTGCTCTGTGAAACTCCCCCCCCCCACTTCTTTCTGTTGACAACTATAAAATGTGTGTACAAAATGTCTTATGAGTTGACACCAAGCTCTGTTTTCACTGGCAGACAGTTACAGGAAGCCGTCACAGCCAAAAACGGAACTTGGGAGACCGTTTTCACTGGCAGAGTGCTCAGGCCGCCACAGGCATCCCCTGACATGAATGAGGTCAAGCTGGCCCCGCCCACCCTGGCCCCCCAAGGTCAAACACAACCCTGGTATGGCCCTCAATGAAATTGAGTTTGACACCTCTGGGCGAGTCCCATCAGGGCGCGATGGCTCCTCAGATTTGGAAGCTTCACATCTCCATTACCCTCTTAGGTTCCAGGGGGAAATTCTGGCAATCTTAACTGAAGCTAAATGCTAGGCGTACAGGTAGTTCTCAACTTACGACCACAACTGAGCCCAAAATTCCTATTGCCAAGGGAATTGTGCCCCATTTTACGACCTTTCTTGCCACTGTTCTTAAATGAATCCCTGCACTTGCTAAGTGAGTAACACGTTCTTAAGTGAATCTGTCTACCCTGTTGAATTTGCTTGTCAGAAAGAGGCCACAAGGTTGATCCCATGACCCCGGGACACAGCAACCGCCATAAATATGAGCCAATTGCCAAGCGTAAGAATTTTGATCATAAGCCACTTTTTTCAGTGCCACAGTAACTTCCAATGGTCACTAAACAAATGGTTGTAAGTTGAGGACTGCTGGCATTTGCACGTAATACTGTCCCTCGACAGATAAGCCATTAAGGACGTTCCCTCCAGTTTTATCTCTGATCCTGATTCCTACCTGAGTTAGCGCAATCATAGCCAAAACGGTGTAGAGTTCTTCTTTTGTCAGCTTCCCTGGAGTGGTGCGATTGGCTAAGGCCCAAATTTGCCCAAGAGTTTCCCTGGGAAGCCCAGAGGACATCAGAATTGGATAGAGTTTGCCAGTGTCTATTCCGGATGGTGTCATGGTGATTTCGAGAATCTTCTTATAAAGATCTGGGAAGGAAAGGATTTGGTCCAAGAGATTAAACACAGCAAACTCAAGCAAATTTAAAAAGGCAGGGCCTTTTCTGCTCTCAAACATTAACCTGATTTATTTAATTTATATCCCACCTTTATTGTTTTCATAAGCAAGACGGAGAACATATCTAGTACTCCTTCTTCCTCCTATTTTCCCCACAACGACAACCCTATGAGGCGAGGTGGAAAAGAGTAATTGGCCTGAAGTCACCCAGCTGCTTTTCATTGCTAAGGGAGAGTTTGAGATCATGCCTTAACCCTCAGACAGGCGCCCCTCAACCATTTGGGTACCAGGGACTGGTTCTGCGTAGATAGATTGTTTTCCACGGACTGGAGGGGTGGTGATTTCGCATGCTGCCTTCATCCCACGGATGGGGCTTTGCTTGTTTGCGCAGCCCGGTTTCTGGATTGCTGTCGATCGGTACCTGTCCATGGACTAGGGCTTGGGGACCTTGGCCCTAGACCAAACTGGCAAAGATTATGGATTCAGTCATCCCAACTAAACTGCCGCAAAGAGGTCACTTTCCTTCAATGTGGATGGATTTTGCCTTTTACTGAATTTCACTAACTGCTGCAGAAAGGTTAGTTGCGATTGTGTGTGTGTGTGTGTGTGTATGCGCGTGTGCCTTCAAGTCAGTTTTAACTCTTCTTGGATGAGAAGCCAAACGTCTTCAAAGAAAAACCAGAAAGTCCAGCTGCCTTTTGGAAGAGGGAAGGTCAGTTTTAATTCCTGTAACTGCCCAGATAAGTCCCTGCAGTTTTCTTGGCAAGGTTTTTCAAGAGTGGTTTACCATTGTCCTCTTCCAAGAGCTGAGAGAAAGTGACTGGCCTAAGGTCACCCAGCTGGCTTTGAGCCCAAGACAGGACTAGAACTCAGAGTTTCCTGGTTTGTCCCTGGTGTCTTAACCACTTTGGGTGTTGTTGTTTTTTTAAACCTTTGAAATAACATCCTTGACATCAGGACCCAAATTAAAATTCAGTGTTGCCTGATCAAAATTTAGCACGGTACTTTGTCAATAGTGTAAAGAACAAGAAGAAAATGCTGATGATAACATGAAAACGACATTTCCTGCCTGAATACAGTATTTATCCTCATCATTTTATTAATTATTACCTGGAACTAAATTATCATTGTAAATCCACGAAGGCATCATTTGCTGGATTGGGTCCTGGGAAGGAAAAACTCCAACGCCTAAGGACACAGACACACGCAAAAAGACAGATCTTTAGAAAATAGCTAAAACAAACGACTCCGTTGGGACACGTCTATCAAGAATGGTTCAAAGAAAGGAATCAGCTCCCCAGAGATTGTTAAAGAAATAAAAAGTTGATTGGTTCAAGGAAAAACAAGCAAGTGTTTCTGCATTCAAATCACAGCTCTGGAGCAAGAGGTATATAGTGTTAACTTTCTGCAAAACATTCTCAGGAAGATGGACAACCACAACAAAAAAGCCAAGCACAAAAAAAAAAATCAATTCAGAAGTTCAAGTGCTGCCAGATAACCAGAAATAAGCAAGAAATACCACAGCTGAAACTTTTATAAATGTGCTTTTAAATAGGATTAGAAACTGAGATATGTTTAGGTTAGCAGTGTGGCCAAAGTCAACAAGAAGGCACCAAATAACTTTGCAGGTATTAGTGGTGTGGGTGAAAAAGTCATCGAAATGGATATACAATGAATAACTTGCAAAACTGTTGTACGCCATCCAGAGCCACACTCTTGTAAGACGGACCATCGTATAAATATGATAAATAAAAATAAAAGATACAGTCAAAGGATTGTTCAGCAGGTGGTTAAGCCTGCTGCTCAACTGCTGCTAATGCTAACCAGCAGCATGAAGGCTCTGTCTATTCTTAGGTTTTTCTTTTTAAATCTTAAAACAGAGCAGCCCTTTAAGCAGAAGACAGATGGGAAGTTGGCAACTTTAGATTATTAAAGGGAAGGGGGGGGAGGGAGAGCGGAAGGAAAGAAGGAAGGAAAAGGAAGGAAAGGAAAAAGGAAAAAAGGAAAAGCAAGAAAGGAAGGAAGGAAAAGAAAGGAAGAGCAAGACAGGAAAGACAGAAAGAAGGGAAAGAAGAAAGAAAGAAGGAAAGCAAAGGAAAGAAGGAAAGGACAGAAGGAAGAAAGGAAGGAAGGAATGAAAGAAGGAAGGAAAAGGAAGAAAGTAAATAAGTAAGTAAGTAAGTAAGTTTTATTGCACTACTGGAAAGCCTAATCCAAGTTAGTAGCACTGGGTGATCTTTCCAACTTGGGTGTCTTGTGACTTTTATGCATAAATTATATCCTACAAGATGAAGGCTTCACTTTTCTCAACTATAACACCTACTTCCTTCAAGCCTGCATCCTAGTTAGGCCCTCTCTACCAAACTGGTACCTTCCAGCGAAGTTGGGCCTGCAAAAAGCTAGAGGGTTAGAATTCTAGGAGTCGTAGTCCTAGCATGTTAGTAAAGTGGCAAGTTGGAGAAAGTTGCTTAGAGGAAATAAGGGCCAATTCTCCTTGGGCAAGTGAATGACAGCAAAGAGGAGGAGGAGATGGGGAGATGGAGAAAGAGGAGGAGAAGGAGGAGGAGGAAAGAGGAGGAAGGGGAGTAATGTTTTGCTTGGAAAAGAGAACAGGCTCAAAACTTATGCAGAGAGCTGGTTAAGGGACAACAGTGTATTATGTGGTGAGTCAGGATAAAAGGTGCTTCGTTGTTATGATTCAAGCAGGGATTCAGAGCAAAATTACCCAGCATTCACCTTAAGAGGTTAGAATAGTGAAGCAAGCATCCACCTGGGCTGAGAACAACAGATTTGCTCACCGCACTCTTGAACTGGCAGCTTTTGTTCTGAAGCCTTGTTTGCCTCTGGATGGGGGGCTCCCTTGGGAAGCGCCCCCAGGGACCTCCTGCCACTGGCTGCTAACTGGGGACCAGGGCTGTTTACAGCAGAAGCGGCAGCGCTGAGTTCAACCTCAGGCGCCTTCAGTTTGATCTGAATCTGCCCAAAATCATTCAACCCGTGAGGTGCCAACGGCTTGTCTTCTAAGAAATGGCCTGGGTGAATAAAAGGAGGAATTAGAGGCACTTGCTAAATTGCACTTCACTTTACAAGCTTTATCCCATTACAGATTGACAGAGTTGGAAGGGACCTTGTAGGTCATCTAGTCCAACCCCCCCGACCAAGCAGGAGACCCCACATCTTTTCTGACAAATGGCAGTCCGGTCTCTTCTTGAAAGCCTCAAATGATGAAGCACCCACAATTTCTGAAGGCAACTTCTGTTCCGTGGGCTGATGGTTCTCACTGTCAGGAAATTTCTCCTCATTTCCATTCCTTCATCTCACAGGCGAAAGGGGAAACACAAACGCACCCACAGCCCCACAAAGAAGGGCTGGTGTGACTCAGTAACAATTTTCAAAGGGGACGATTGTCACTGGGTCACGTCAGTCCATATTTAAAGATTCTACCAATACAGATAGTCCTCGACTTAGGACCCTAATGGAGACCGCCCATCAGGAATGGAAGTCATGACAGTCATAAAGTGAAACCAATTTTATGCTGCAAAAGTTGACGGAGTGAACAGAGATGGCTAATGATTAGTGACTAATTTGATTAAAGGATTTTTTTAAAAAAACCTCACAATTACTTTTGCTTCTGCGGTACTTGGAAACTTCTGGCCTTTTGTGTTTTGAGGTGGGGGGAAAAGGCTACTTTTGATTTTGGGTTTTTACCAATTAAGATAGGTTTGTTGTTACAGAAAGGGCTCGTTTATGCTATTACGTAAAAGTAAAAAGTTGAGGTTTGATGCTGTTATGTTGCTGCACCAAAGAGAGTTGGAAGTCAATGCCTTTTCTTTCTTTTTTCTCTTTGCCCTACACTTTTTCCTTCCCTTCTCCCTCCCTTATTCTCCTACTGTTTTCTTCTCTATGATTTGTATTGTATATTATCTATATATGCGAAATCCCACTCACGCATCATCACAAAATCTCCAGAACCATAAAGCCTAACAAACTTGAAATTTGGCACGTATGTTCCTCTTGGCTTCTAGGTGCTCACTAAGAAGAATTTTTTTGAAATGACCATCAGAGCATTAGTATTTCCTATATTGTTATTATTAACACGCTCTGATGCTAAGGAGTTCTACTCCCCCTCCCCACCTGAAAAGAAATCTGTTCCAAATGCAAAACACAAGCAGAGGAGTTTCAATTTCAGTTTCAGAGCAGCAAGCAGCTTTAGTACAGAACAGTTGAGCTAAGCCATGCCCCAACTCCTTGCTGTCTCCTTCTTGCTCACACAGCAAATACTGCTTCAGTTTCCAAATAGCCCTCAACTCTCTCACACATTGACAGGACGCTAGCCAGATGAATACCGATGGATGCTGGTAGGCAGAGGCACAATTCCTCCCCGCCCCCTTATTTTCCTCCCCCAAAACTAAGCCCGACCACATAGTTTCGTAGCGAAGCACGGGTATCGAGCTAGTAAATGAATAAAAAAATAAAAGAACCAATTTTATAAGCAGTCGGTAAGTGAACCGCTATGAACCAGTCCTGGCAAAAACTGGAATGCCGGTTTTCAGCAAAAATGTCATAAAACAGGACTCTGCAAACAGCGTCAATGCAGGCTGGTTGCCGAGTGTCCAATATGTTGCAGGTTGGAACTCTGGAACCAGGTCATAAGTGCCCCCAGGAAGGTTTGTTTTAACTTTGAATGGTTGCTACCAGTTGTAAGTCAAGGACTATCTGTAGTAAGCATACCCAGAGTTCAGCAGGACAAGAAAAGGGACAAGCAGTGCATTACCCTTTAAAAAAAAATATTAAGAGAATTTTTTTTACATTCTAAAGGACTGTAACTGAGGATTACCCAATCCCTCCAGTATGCAAATTTGGCCTGATTCTTTTTAAATCTACCAAAATGCTTTAAATTGTAAATTGTTAAATGGCAAATGTAAATTAAATATAAATCTACTAGAACAAATTAAAATATAAGAAGGGCTGGGGGACCCAGGGAAGCAGAGATATGTGACTCCATTGAGGTGGATATAATCATTCTCTCTTTGCTTCAGGGTTTGTGTATTTTTGTTCCTAATAATATTTAATTTTTACCATTAATTTTGTTTTAGACTTTTATGATTGGTTTATATATGTGTCATTTTATCTGATGGTTGTCTACTGCCCAGAGTTGTTTTCATTGAGATGGGCAGCCATGCAAATTTGATAAATCAAGTAATAAAATGTATTTTATTTTATTTAGAAAATGAATTGGCTGCTCATCTTACCATGGAGTAAAATAAAATTATGAAATAAGATAATATGTAATAATAAAACAAAACAAAATAATATATAATAAAATAAAATAAAATAAAATTTCTGGCTTTTCTGAATTGAAACTTTACTCGCTATCTGGACAGAAGTCTGTCAAATGCCTAGATATATTTATGTATAAATGCCTTGATACACACACACACACACACACACACACACACACACAAAACACTTGGCTATAATGGCTGTTCTCCTTTCTGCAAAACTTTGGTGCTGATTTATTTATTAGGGGTCCTATTTCTCTCCTGGAATTCAGGATTAGAGAGAGCGAGAAAATATTGCTCCTGCATTAAGGGATTCATCAAGAGGCACTTCCATCCATGCAAATTAATTTTTTAACTTACGACCATAATTGGGGCAATGATTTCTTTGTATTTTATACATTGATAAAACAATAAAAATTATAGAGTCAAAGAATTTCCAAAGTGGCTGAGTTGCACCTGCTTTTATGACCTTTTTTACTTTTTGACTGTTATGTGAATCATTACCGTTGTTAAGTGAATCACACAATCAAATCTATCTCCCCCGCATTGATTTTCCTTATGGCAAACAGGCTGGTAGTTCGCAAAACGGGATTCCATCGCACACACACACCCAGGACACAGCAGCTGTCATAAATATGTACCAGTTGCCAAGTGTCCAGATTTTGATCATGAGACCACAGGGATGCTGCAATGGTCGTGTGAAAACTGGTCATTAGCCGCTTTTTCCCCCAGGGTTGTTAACTTCAAACTGGCCTTAAATGGATAGATCGTAAGCCGAGGACTACCTGTATATTTTACTCCCCGAAAGACATGGTGTGTTACCTGTTTTCTGAGTGTTTTGTGAAGCTGGAGAAGGAGAGAAATAGGGCACTGGTCCCACGGTACCCTGGAGGATGGAGGTGACAGGAAACTGGACTGAAGGGAGAGGGTGGGCTGTGGCCTTCTCTAAAAGCTGCTGCCCAGCTTGAGAAGCAGGATGGCAAGGCTGAAAAGGCTGGGAGGAGGTTGGAGGCACGAACGGTGGGGTTTCGACAGGTCCCTGAATAAAGTCACTAAACTCCTCGTCGTCAAGAAAGGCGGCAGTTTGGGAGACAGACACGGTAGAATGAGATGGTTTGGGATGATCTGTGAAATGGAATGAACACAGACATGTACATACACACGAGATGGAAACCTCCGGAGGACAATGAGCCTAAAAAAATATAAAATAAAAGAGAAGTGCCCATTTCTAGGACCTACAACAGGGATGTCAAACACAAAGCCTGGGGGCCGGATGCGGGTTGTGATGTGGTCGGATCCAGCCCACGGTGAGCAGGGCCATTCTGGAAAATGTTAAGAGGCCAGCCAGCGTGGCTTCGGCCTGGTCTACCCAATGCGCAGAGGAAACATGCCAGCAGTTTGAAGGGTGGCATCAAGCTGGATACGCCACCCAGTTGGCCACACCCACCCAGTCGCCACACCCACCCCGGCTCCCCGAGGTTAACCACAGCCATGATGCGGCCCTCAATGAAATTGAGTTTGACACCCCTTGTTAACTCATAAGACATTTTGTGCACACATTTTATATTTGTCAACAGAAAGCAGTGTGGAATCGAAAGTACATTCCATTCATATTTTCTTCAGAGACTGATTAGACGACTGAAGCTTCTGGTGTGTAAAAATCTAACTGGAGAGCATGACTGATGATTCTTGGCTATGGATGTGTTTCGTTGGATGATACACCCAGAGGGGTGGGGGAAAAAGCAGGATTAAAGGTGACAGTGAATTAGAGTGAATCAGAGTCGGCTATGCCCAGGCTAATGCTGGCATGTTAACTTCTAATAAATCCTTTGCAGTTTTGGGTGTGTGGCTCGAGGCTCATGATTTAATTGGAGTAACTACCGAAATCCTGATACCCCTGACCTACAAGATCAGACTTGGGCATTTTATAGCCCCTGGGCCACATCTCGCCTTTTGGCTGTCCCCGTCTGGTCTGGGAAATGTCCATTTGGAAATCAGAAATCAAATGTAAATAAGCTTGCTGTAGGAGGCAGGAGAGGAAGCTGAGACAGCTCTGGCTCTGTGCAATCGCTGTGTGCTCTTTCAGTCGCCATCCCAAAGGTGCCTTATTCAAGAGGCAACTGGACTTCCTTGGTCTTTTCTTTGAAGACGTTTTGCTTCTCATCCACGAAGCTTCTTCAACTCTGAGCTGAAGAAGCTTCTTGGATGAGAAGCAAAACGTCTTCAAAAGAAAAACCAAGGAAGTCCAGTTGCCTCTTGAATAAGGCACTTTTGGGACAACCATGACCTGGATGACTGAGAATCTCCCTAGACTTTCAGTCAATAGTGGCAGCCAGAGGAGGGCAAGGAGAACACCCTTTACTGAACCTGCACAGCGCTTGCCAGTCTGTAATGGGACAACTCGCCATAGAACAACTTGCCGCCAAACGATTCAACGAATACAAAAGTTACATTAATTTCAAGGGAAAGTCAACCCAGAAATACAAGAGTTACAATAATTTCAAGGAAAACCTGATCACCAATAATAAATAGCAATAGCACTTAGGCTTATATGCCGCTTCACCATGCTTCACAGCCCTCTCTAAGTGTTTTAGAGTCAGCCTATTGCCCCCAACAATCTGGGTCCTCATTTTACCAACCTCGGAAGGATGGAAGGCTTGAGTCAACCTTGAGCCAGTGAGGATCGAACTGCTGAACTATTGGCAGCCGGCAGAAGCAGCCTACAGTACTGCATTCTAACCACTGCGCCACTACGGCTCGTGTCACTGAATGGAACAGTCACTGAATGAAATGTTTAATACAGCATTGAATTGTTCTGTGGCAACTTGGCCATGGCGACTTAGAGATGTCCTGGAGCCCGTCTCTTACCTGACACAGCCTGAAGAGGTGGCTGCAACCACCGGGTGAGGGAACCAAGCTCAGCCCCTCACCATTGCCTCGGTTGAACCACAACTTGTGGGTGGAGCGCAGCCAGGAGCTCTTGGTGTAGCCCTCCACAACAGTCCCAATTCCTGATATGGCCCTTGGGGGGAAATTAACTGCCCAACCTTGTAAAGGTAAAGGTTTTCTTTGTCCAGTGGTGTCAGAGTCTACGGGGCAGTGCTCATCTTTGTTTCTTAGCTGACGGAGCCAACGCTGTCTAAAGACCCTTCCGTGGACATGTGGCCAGCATGACTGTACACCAAAGGCACCCTGAACGCTGTTACCTTCCCACCCAAGTGGTATCTATTTATCTACTCACATTTGCATGCATTCGAACTGCTAGATGGGCAAGAGCTTGGGAGGTGGGGTAAATAACAAGAGCTCACCTCATTGTGAGGCGCCCAGGTCTTGAACAGAGGCTGTCAGTTGACAAGCTCAAAGTCTTTAACTACTGAGTTATCGCCCTCCGACCCACCTCTGTACAAGATGGTGTTAGGAAAGATTGGTGCACGCCGGTAATGCAAAATCCCGCAATTTTATGGTATGACATGCTTACCCTGCTGAAGAGGTAAATGGCTTCTGAACTTCCCGCTGTAGAGGGGGGGAAATCTTGCTTTTTCAGCAAGAGGTGAAAGGGAGAAAGAGCTGCTTCTTCTCTGATCCCCATTCCTGCTTTTTTTACAAGCATTAAATCACTCAAAAAGGCCTTGATTCAAATGGGGTGATTTAAAATGCTGAGTAGAGCAGGGGTCCCCAACCACCGGGCCCCAGACCGGTACCGGTCCGTGGATCATTTTCTACCGCAGGGGTCCCCAACCACCAGGCCCCGGACCGGTACTGGTCCGTGGATCATTTTCCACCGGGCTGCCGGTTTGCTGGGCGCCATCTTGTTTCAACAGAAAGTGCTTCCGGGTGAGCTTTTCCGGTTGGAAAGCGGCGTTTGAGTCCTGTAGGAATCCTCGCGCCTTAGTTTCATCGAAGAGGGGTGGCGGCTTCGAACGAAGAGCCGTCCCGATGGCGGAGGAGATTAAGAAAGCACAAAAAAGGTACAAAGGAGGAGTTGAAGCTGGCCGGGAGAAGCGGGGGACGGCTGGCTGGCCGGTCGCTCGGCTCGCCTTGCCTTGTCATGCTTGCTGTTGCCGGTACCGGGCCACGGATTATTTTGTGATGCCGGTACCGGGCCGTGGCACAAAAAAGGTTGGGGGCCACTGGAGTAGAGCACAGAGGGCTTTTATCAGTTAGATGGCACATTCACTACTGAGCTTCCTGCTAGAGAGAAAAGTGGAACCAACTCCTTTAGAAAGCTGAGAATTTACCCTGAAGGAACCCAGATGCTTTATGTTAAGTTGGCTTTCACTGATGCAGAGGTGATAAAAAATCTTCAGTGTCCTATGCTGCTTTATTTTTATATGTATTTTATTTTCTTGAGGACATTAGCAGCAGGGTGGCCTCATGGTGAAGACACTCACCTCCCACTCAGAAGGTTGAGAATTCAAGCCTAAGAAGTGGCAGGTATTGTTCTCTCAGTGTACAAAGAGAAAATATCTGCTATGAACTGCGAGGATGCATTAGGAAGAGCATCCAGCTGGTAAACTCTCAGCTCCGCTCATTTGCCGCTGACTACAGGGTTTTAAAAAGAAAGAAAACTCTTGAGGACATCAGCTTTTAATAGCCACAACCAGTAATTCGATGCTCTTAAAAGATGAGAATCTGCAACTGCAACTTATACGGATGCAGTTTAAGGTTTTTGAAAAGGCTTCTAGGTTTCGAAATGCATACATGCTCAGTCAACTGAACATAATTTGGCTATCATTTCATAGGGGTGGAATCTTAATCCAATTAAAATTAAGCACATTAAAGTCCTGCTATTCATGACCCAAAAGAGTGTTAGATTTCTTTTTTCACTGAAAGCAATAGAATTGATAAATGCTTCTCTTTGGCAGGTTTCTCTAAAAGTTTCTGTGCATCTTAAAGCTGCATGCAATTTTTTTTTTATTTCAAGATCTTGTCTCCAAGTTGAATACCTGCATTTTTGGGATGAGCAGTTGGCGTGGGATGGAGTTTAGCATCTCTGGAAAACCCGTCTAGGTTCCCTTTAATAGCTTCCAGAGCATCATCTCTGCTTTTTTCACCCATCTGAAAACATATTGATACACCCTATTATGAAACAGCTCGAACAGAATTTTCAACTACTTTAGAAAGCCTGATTACATTTATCACTTGCCAAAAACAAAGTACGCTATTTCGTCAAGGAAAATCAGACTAGCAAAGCCCATTTTATGTCAAAGTAGCTTATCATTTTATATTCTATATTTTAATTTTATATTTATATTTTAATTATTTTAATTTTTAAATACTCTGACGTGTGATTGTGATGTGGTGTTTGAGGCACTGTGCTGGAGTAGCTTTCAAATTTCATTTCATTTGTAGAATGAATGACAATAAAGGTATTCTGTTCTGTTCTGTTCTGTTCTGGTAAACAGGTAGTTCCCAACTTATCACCAGAATTCAGATCAGAATTTCCATTGCAAGAGCAATACCAATAGTGCTTAGACTTATATACCACTTCACAGTGCTTTATACACCGTCTTTAGAGTCAGCCTCTTGCCCCCAACAATTTGGGTCCTCATTTTACCGACCTCAGAAGGATGGAAGGCTGAGTCAATCTTGAGCGGGCCAGGATTGAACTCCTGGCAGTGAGCAGAGTTAGCCTGCAATATGGCGTTCTAACTACTGCGCCACTACGGCTCAGTTGTGATTGTTAAGTGAGCCACACCCAATTTTACAAGATTTTTACCAATTAAGCTAATCACTAGCAGTTGTTAAGTGAATCATGTGGACGTTAAGCCTTCCCTGATTGGCTTTGCTCATTGGAAGCCATCTGGGAAAGTTGAAAATGGAGATCACACGATTCTTCTAAACAATGCAATCGTTTTAAACACCTGCTGGTTGTCAAGCGCCTGAATTCTGATCACAAGATCGTGGGGAATGCTGTGATGGTCGTAAGTGCGAGGTCTGGTTGTAAGTCACTTGTTTCCAGTGCTGTCGTAACTTCAAGCAGTTGTTAAATGAATGGCTATAAGTCAAGGATTGTCCCATACTGTTTTGTTGAAACACTGGTATTAGGTTTTTTTTTTAAAAAAATCTATTTCCTGTTTTAATTTCCCTCCTCAACAGACATTAATTTAAATCCGGCTGGCTTGCCACTGAATAAGTAAGCCACCACATACCTTTGGCTTCACGCTGCTTAAAAGCCGTAGCTTTTGCTTCTGTTCTTCGAACTGACGCCTTTTTCTTTCTTCCTCCAAAACTTTCTGCTGGTGTTCAAACCGTTTCCTGTAAGATATAATTAATGCTGATTATAGACATGATTTAGACCTCACTGCTATTTCTGTTACTTTTGTACTCTGCCTTACTTGAAGAAACACAGACCGGGCCTTGGGCACGGGGAAAGAAGTGGCGATCTATTAATCCAAGGCGGGTGATCTAAATCAGGGGCCCTTAATTCCCAGGCCGCAGCCCACCAGACTGAGCACACTGGGCAAGTGCACGTGCGCAGCTTCAATTGCACGCAGCTCCATATGCGCCCTGGTGGGCACCCATGCCTGCCACTTGTGCGAATGGAGCTGTACGTGCTTGTGTGCACATTTATTGCTCAGATGCAGCCATCCCAACTCCCTCCCCCACAACTGGGCCACCAAGCCGGAAGGATTGGGGACCGCTGATCTAAGGGACCTTTGACCAACGATGATACGATCCTGAGAAACAGGAAAACTGTCAGAAGGAAACTCAAACTAACTCTACCTAGATTTGGTTTAGTATACATGTAGTCCTTGACTTACAAGCATTCGTTTAGCGACTGTTCAAAGTTACAACGGCTCTGGAAAAACCGACTAGGACCATTTTTCATACATACAATCATTGCAACATCCCCGTGGTTGCATGATCGCCTTTTGCGTCCTTCTGACAAGCAGAGTCCATGGGGAAGCCGGATTCACTTAACAACCATGTTACTAACTGAATTAACAACTGCAGTGATTCCCTTAACAACAGTGGCAGGTTGTAAAACAGGGCAAAACTCCCTTAACCACCGCCTCACTTAGAAAAAGAAATTTTGCGCTCAGTTGGACTACCTGTAAGATGGAGCAGAGAAAAACGTGGACATATGTTCAAGATTCTGTTACTCTACTTGACTATAATAAAATAGCATTCCTGCATTCCCAAGGCCAAGTCTACTGTACATTCCTCCATACCTATAAGGTCTGGGTGGAAATACCAAAGCTACCAAATATTAGTGGTACAGGCAATATTAGGATGACAATGTAAAACAGAAGGCGGTATGAGTAGCATTCCTGATCCCAATTCAAGACCATGTAGACCTTTTAGTTTTGGGTTGAAAAATTGTGGATAATTACTAGATGGCAGCAAAGAGCAACAATCCATTTCTCTGCTCTCACTTAGTGGTAGTCCAGGTTTCTGCAGCATAAAGTTGGAAGCGGGATGCAAAAAGGTCTTCTGAGACAATCAGGTCCTTGAGGCATGATCAAGTGAGGTCATCCTCCCGAGTCACGTGTTGAGCATGGCACCTATATAAATTAATTACTGTACTTTTCGGAGCATAAGGTGCTCTGAAGTATAAGACACACCTAGCTTTGGGGGAGGTAAACAAGGGGAAAAAAAATCTGCCTCTGCCTCCCAGCAATTTGCCTCCTTACAGCAAACAGCTTCAGCACAGCCTCTTTTAGCTTCAGCACAGCCTGATTAGCACAAGCAGCTGACTGTCGGTTAAGTCAGCCTCCCCACGATCAGCTGTTTCAGGCTGCAGGGATTGCCATAACCTATTGCCGTCTCTGTGCTCCCTATTTTTGGCCTCTGCATCCCCTTTTCAGCCTCTGCACGCCCCATTTTTGGCCTCTGTGCACCCCATTTTCGGCCCATTCTGGGTGGCAATGACAATCCCTGAAGCCTGAAACAGCTGGTTGTCGGAAGGCCGATCCAACCGACAATCAGCTGCTTGTGCTAATCAGACTGTGCTGAAGCTGAAACAGGCTGTTTGCTGTAAGGAAGTAAATTGCTGGGAGGAAGAGGCCAGTGGGTGGGGGCCAGCGGGTGGGCGGGGCTTCGGCAACATTAGCTGTATAAGACACCTGAACATTTCCACCCCACTTTGGGGAGTGGGAAAAGTGCGTCTTATACTCCGAAAAATACGGTAATAAAAAAATAATAATAAAACCAGACCTGTTGTTACAGAATGGCTCACTTACTGCTGTTCTTCAACAAACTGTTTCCGCATATCCTGGGTGTACTGAGGAGCTGCTGCACGCATTCCAAGGAAAGGACCTTGTCCCATATATGGCATCCCTGCTGTTGGCATCGCACCGAGAGGCATGCCACCCTGTGAAGCAAATGAGCGGTATTAAATATTAAATAATAAAAAGCAAGAGAGACAGGGAGAGAAATGCAAGGTAAATGATCCAGGAAACTGGGTCTCAGGACACTCAGAATGAATGTGAGCTTTCTTATAGTGAGATCTCACCATCTGCAAATACGTGCCCAATTTTTGCCCATGTTATTTGATGCAGATAAATTATATGAATTATGGATAGTCCTGGATTTGCAGCTTATTTGTTTAGCGACATCGCAATGGCACTGAAATAGTGATCCACTTAACAACTGTGGCAGAACAGGTCACAAAATGGGGCACAAGACATTTAACAACTGTCCTGCTTAGGAACAAGGATTTCGGGCTTAATTGGGGTCGTATGTCAAGGACTACCTGAATTAAAACAGAAAATGTTGCAAAGATGGTGTACACCACCCTGTGAGGTGTATGTTTATGCTGGATGGAATTGTTTCGTCTCTATTTCATTGACCGGTTCCACCACATCAGGCAGAAAGGTTACCTTACGCACGTTACAAGAATTTTGACTGGTAGGGTCCAAAAAGAGAGAGCCTTCTGTGCCAATGCTCCACCCTATGGAATATCTTGCCTCTGGAGGGGAGGCAGGCCCCCAGTCTCCTAGCTTTTCAGAAGAGCATTAAGACCTGTCTCTGTGGTGCGGTGGCCTAGAGGTGGAGCTCTTGCCTCTCACAAATCAGGAGTCTGTGAGTTTGATCCTAGGTAGAGGCAGGTATTTCTCTCTCTCTGGGCACAATGAGAATATATATCTGCTGAAAAAACATTCCGCGCTGGTGACAGGAAGGGCATCCAGCCAGGAAACACTCCGTTCCATTCAGTTGCCCAGACTACACACCGCAAGGAATTATGGAGTTGTTAAAAGAGGAAGACGGCTAAGACCTGGCTCTGCCAACAGGATTGTGGTGGGGGTGGGGCAAGTATATCATGCAACCCTGGAGGTGGTTGGTGGGTTGAAGGTGCTCCTTTTAACTTTGCAAGTGTTCTTTTTGACTTTTAATTTTGAGGGGACCTTGATATACTCTGAGCTTGGTGGTTTTCTTTTAGATGTTTCATTACCCAAACCAGATAACAGCGTCAATGCACTGATGATGTTACCCAGTTGGGTAATGAAAAGCCTGCAAAAAAAAAAAAAACAAGCTCAGAGAGTACCAAGGGACCCTTCATTTCAACCCTCAGGTACAAAGACAGGTAGTCCTCGACTTACGACAACGATTGAGCCCAAAGTTTATGTTGCCGAGACATTTGTTAAGTGTGCTTTGCCCTGTTTTATGACTTTCCTTGACCCAGTTGTTAAGAGAATCACTGCTGTTAAGTGAGTACACATGGTTGTTAAATGAATCTGACCTTCCCCATTGACTTTGCTTTTCAGAAGGTTGCAAAAATGGATTGCGTGACTCTGGGACAATGCAACCGTCATAAATATGAACCAGCTGCCAGCTATCCGCATGTAAATCGCATAACCATGCGGATGCTGCAACGGTCGTAAGTGTGAAAAAATGGTCTTAAGACACTTTTTCCAATGCTGTTGAAACTTCGTTCACTAAATGAACTTTTGTAAGTTGAGGACTACCTGTATTCTCCTTTATCAGCGTTTCAATTTTGTTTTTTAACTATGACTTCTGTAGGATTTTATTTCATTTTATTTGTAAACCGCCTAGAGACACCCAGTGTGGGGTAAAGTAATTTGAACGGAATAAAATAATTCCTGATACCGATGAAAAACCAGGCCTCTTGAAATCGCCTCAGGACGTACCTGCACCGTCATCGTTCCTGGAGGCATCTGAGAACCGTAATTCATCCCCATCATGCCTTGCATATTGGGCTGCATGACAGGCACCATCGAGAAGCTCTGTTGTTGCATTGGAATCATGCCTACACCGAGACATTAAAAACTGGTTAGGATTCCGGTGGGGTCAATTCCACCCCTGGACACAAGAGGGCAAGAACAGGTACAATTGGGCCAACATGTTAGGTATAGCAGGGGTCCCCAACCACCGGGCCGTGGACCGGTCCCGGGCCGTGGAACATTTCCTATCGGGCCGCCGGTTTGCTGGGCACCACCATCATGTTTGACGAGAAAGTGCTTCCAGGTGAGCTTTTCCAGTTGGAAAACGGCGTTTGGGTGCTGAAGGAATCCTCATGCCTTAGTTTCATCGAAGGGAGGGGGCTTCGAACGAAACTAAGGCACGAGGATTCTTTCAGCACCCAAGGCAAGGTGAGCCAAGCGACCGTCCCAAAGCCGTCCCGAAGCGAAGCCCATCGACAAAGGTACAAAGGAGGAGTTGAAGGTGGCAGGGAGAAGTGGGGGACAGCTGGCTGGCCGGTCGCTCGGCTCGCCTTGCCTTGTCATGCGTGCTGATGCCGGTACTGGGCCATGGATCATTTTGTGATGCCGGTACCGGGCCGTGGCACAAAAAAGGTTGGGGGCCACTGAGCTATAGTTAAGGGGCTGGGGATCCAAACAGACCAGGGGTGTCAAACTCAAAGCCCATGGGCTGGATCTGGCCCACAACGGTGCTTAGATCTAGCCTGCAGCACCGCCCTGGAAAAGAGTGAAGGACCAGCCCGCCGTGCCTCTGCCAGCGAAAACAGAGCTCGGGAAGCCCGTGCACAGCCCTCTCGAGCTCCATTTGCGCTGGCGGAGGGTTGCAGGAGGCCGTCGCAGCTGGAAACAGAGCTCGGGAGTCCGTTTTTGCCGGCAGAGAGCTCAGGCTACTACAGACACCGACACAAATGACATCAAGCTGGCCATGCTCACTCTGCCCCCCTCCCCCAGCCCTTCCCCCACCCCCGAGGAGTTGTGTTTAACTGAGGTGGCCGTCCATGAAATCAAGTTTGACACCCCTGAAGTAGACCTTCCTGCTCTCTGGGGCTTCCTACTCAGGCAAAAAGAATTTTCTTGGCAGGAGAGCTGAAAGCAGTGCAAACTTCTTATATTATTTAATTTGCAATAATGATCTGTCTGGATAGTTAGCCTCCTAGCCAAAAGACTAATCAGCCCTCCATCAAGCAGCAAGCTGGACTAAATGACCTCTCAGGATGCTTCCAAGGATTTTTATCAATACAGACCTTAAATCTTTGAAACGAGAGTTAGCATTGATGAGGGATCCTTGGTGCTCTCTAAGATTGGTTGTCTTCTTGCAGATGTCTACGGAGATTCTCAGTCATCCGGGTCATGGTTGTCCCAAAGGTGCTTTTTCAAGAGGCAACTGGACTTTCTTGGTTTTTCTTTGAAGACGTTTCGCTTCTCATCCAAGAGGCTTCTTCAGCTCTGAATCAGCTTCTTGGATGAGAAGCGAAATGTCTTCAAAGAAAAACCAAAGAAAGTCCAGTTGCCTCTTGAAAAAAAAAACACCTCTGGGATGACCATGACCTGGATGACTGAGAATCTCCATAGACATTCAGAGAGTATTGTAAAGCACTATGGGACAGGATAGAAGTCTAAATGCTATTGCTATAGACACCTAACTTAAGATACCTTGTGTTTCTCTTTTCAAGTCCAAACCCCTTTCCAATTTTACCTACCTTGAGGGCCAAGACCACCAGCTACAGGAAAAACGAAGCTGAAACGAGAAGAGGAGAGGGGGGGAAAAGTTTGTACGTCATTTAATGAAAAGAACACGCCCTGTTAAAAGTCTTTAGCACAGATGGGTGCCCCCATGAAGCAGGGGAGAGACCCCATTGGTTCCTATGCACAAGGTCAGATTGTGAAAAACGCTTAAAGCCAAGATAGAATTTGGTTTTAAAACCATACCTATTAAGAATGTTCGTGTAAAACAAGTTGAATGAAAGGGGCAAAAAAAGAAATACAGGTAGTCCTCAACGTACGGCCACAATTGAGCCCAAAATTTCTGTTGCCAAGAGAGATAATTGTTAAGTGAATTTTGCCCCATTTTACCACCTTTCTAGCCGCAATTGTTAAGTGAATCACTGCAATTGTTAAGTTGGTGACGTGGTTGTTAAGGAAATCTGGCTTCCCCCTTGACTTTCCTTGTCAGAAGGTCACAAAAGGGGATCGCCAGACCCTGGGACACTGCAACCGTCATAAATATGAGTCAGTTGCTAAGTGTCTGAACACGTGACCATACTTTATGTTTCTCAGTGCTCATTGTAACTTTGAACAGTCACTAAATGAACTGTTGTAAGTTGAGGACTATCTGTACAAAAAAGTACAAGGAAAGAAAAAGAAAACTAAAGTTAAGAAATATATGACTTCTGACCTTTTCAACAGATAATTGGAATATTATTGTCCTTCCTCTCTCTTAAGTGCTTTACAAATCCCATTTAGTCCACATCTTTATTAATCTTAGAATAGAACAAAATGATAGAGTTGGAAGGCACCTTATAGGTCATCTAGTCCAACCCCCGGCCCAAACAGGGGACCCTGCACCATTTCTGACAGATGGCAGTCCAATCTCTTCTTGACAGCTTCCAGTGATGAACCTCCCACAACTTCTGAAGGCAACTTCTGTTCCATTGGTTGTGTCAGTCTGTGCTCCATTCAAAATCCAAGAAAGAAATACTTAAACTCCATAAATTAGAGGAAAGGATTCTTTTACTGAAATTCGAAGTGGAAGCTACAGGTAGAATTCTGAATCTGAGAAATTAGGCGCGCAGATCACATATACAAAGTGATGGAATTGTTCCCACCCCCCAAAGTTCAAAAGACCCTTCCAATAAAAAGTTCTGAATATGATCATGTGGGCATCTTCAGGTGGTGATGAGGCCTCTGTCCGTTGACCTTGACATATTTTGATAAGGATTCGCAGTTGCGCAGAGGAAAGAAGGCTAAGCAAGGAAATAGAAACTTAAGAGCAGGAATTTATACTCCCCCCTACTCCTCATTTATACAACACAAGAATGTAACACCTCCAGCTCTCTTCCCAGACGCAACCCCTCCCCCCGTTACTCATGGCAGCCGAAAGATGCAAAGCAGTAGAAAAGATCTTGAAGGCTGACAGGTTGATTGTTCTCACTGTCAGGAAGTTTCTCCTTATTTCCAGTTTGAATCTTCTCCTTGATCAGTTTCCATCATTTTTTGTCTGGCCTTCGGGTGCCTTGGAAAATAGCTTGACCCCTTCCTCTTCTGTGGCAGCCCCTCAAACATTGGAAGACTGCTATCCTGTCTCCCCTGGTCCTTCTCCTCCCTAGACTAGGCCCAATTTCTGCAACCGTTCATTGTATTTTTTAGTCTCCAGTCCCCTAGTCTCAACATCTTTTGTATAGTGTTGTGACCAAAACTGGATGCAGCGTTCTTAGGTGTGGTCTTACTAAGACTTTATAGAGTGGTATTAGTACTTCACTTGATCTTGATTGTATCCCTTTGTTAATGCAATTTAGGATTGCATTAGCTTTTTGGGCTGCTGCCGCACAGATGGCTCATATTTAACTGGTTGTCCACTAAGACTCCAAGATCCCTCTCACAGTTATTGCTATTAAGCCTGGTTTCACCCAATCTTCCTGTTCTGTTAATTGCTTCTATGATCAAGACTCAATGTTCAGGATGATTTCTTTACAAGCAACCAGGGATGCGCACTGTGTTAAAGTACTTTGTGTAACTCTGACCTAACATAACAAGTGAATCCAAGCATTAGATGTATGGTGAACTATACTTTATGGCTTAAATGTTTCAAGTCTGCCAAGTCACTATGGCTTAGTAAAAAATAAAACAAAAACATAGTTTAAACAAGGCACATGGTGTACTATATGATTCTTTCCAGTCTGTGACTCAGTCCATTGATGTAAAAAAAAAATCACATCTGCTTCCTTTTAAATCTTAAGGGCCATATTTCTGACTGTGTGCAATCTAAACCAAGTCATTGTTCAACTATAGAATTTACCGGTCATTAACATCAGTTCTGAATATTAATTGATGTTGAGTCACTGGGTTAGCTATTATAGTTTTATAGAGAGTCTGGAAAATGAAATGGGAAAAGTTGGGAAAGAAAAACTTTTGCTCTGTTCTTTTTTCCCAAAAGGAAAGAAAAATAATACATGGAATATTGGAAAACATATGCAATTGGAAAACATATGCAAACATACACATCTCCCCATTTTTTTTCTCAATACATTTTTTTCCAGGTTTTTGCAAGGTGAACCAAAGCCACTTAAACAAAACCTCAGTACCCTGGATTTCAATGCTATCCAGGCAATTTTGATCTTTCCTTAGAATGAATGTTGGCTGGCCAAGAAATAAGTAAGCAATATGTTTCACAAAAGCCTGAATGAATAAGGACAAATTCCACGACAACATACAATTTTTTTAACGGACAGGAAAATCATTCAGTTCATCAGCTGTAATTGCAAATAACAGCACAATGGAAGTGCTGTCAGTCTCAATTCTGGCTCTTAAGACAGAAAAATAGTGGAAGAAATAAAAAGCAATTTAATACTTTTAAACATAAGAACTGAACAGGCCAAAAAGATGAAGGCAATGTTTATGTCTATATTGTTGCAATTTAAAAATTAGACTAATGTTTGCAAGAGGCTTAATATCATAATGTATTTGTTTCATCACAATTCCCTGTATTTTATGATATATAGGAGATGTGAACAAAATGTAGCATTTGTTTCTTTCCATAATAGCAAAACAAGTGTCTCACAAATCCCCAGGGAACAAGTCTCATCTGCTGTGTCTCTTTGACAACTGGTCTGCTGTTCTCGAATTTAAAAAAAAAATTGACAAAAATACTGTAAATTGACAAGTATTGACCTCCCAAAAACTCGTACAAAAACGCTTTGGACTTTGCTTTCTTGAAAAAAGAAATAGTGTTATGTTAGTTAGCGCCAGGTATAAAATGTGCAGAGAAAAATAATGATTGGTTGGGGGGAGGGTTTGTCATTGGATAGGAGGAGAAAATGCATCGAGTACAATTAAAAAGACTGAAAGGCGAGAAAGTCAAAGGCATAAATTAGTTCCTCTGTAGATCGAAGACTTGATAAGGTTCTCGAGTTTATCCAATGTTAGGAGAAACCAGACATCTGAGTCCACCCTAGGCCACTTATTGATTGCTTTGTCACGGGATGATGAGAATGCAATATGGAAAATAGCCTTTCTTTTTAGTCTAAGGGCAGAGAGATGTACTTTATAATTGTTCTGGACTATGGCCAGGAAAGGGGCTCCCATTACTGCAGTAATAATTCAACAATCTCTCCAGATCGGCCTTTCTCAGCTTGGAACTGTCAAGCTTTGGTGGACTCCAGCTCCCATAGAACCCAGAAAACGATGGGCCTTTATTCCAGGAGAACAAGATGGCAGAACTGGTGGCACAGTAATTAGAGTGCAGTATTACAGGTTAATTCTGCCTACTGCCAACAGTTCGATCCTCACCGGCTCAAGGTTGAGTCAAGCCTTCCATACTTCCGAGGTCAGTAAAATGAGGACCCAGATTGTTGGGGGCAATAGAGGCTGACTCTGTAAACTGCTTAGAGAGGGCTGTAAAAGCACTGTGAGGTGGTATGTAAGTCTAGGTGCTATTGCTATTAGGTAAGGGAAGACTGCGTTAAACCAATGTAGATCAACAAGATTTTATGCCATCGCTAGGTTTCTGAATATCTTTCATGGATTGTGGGAAATGTCAATGCCTATCTTTTTTGAACTGACCAGTCACTTTTCCAATTTAAGTTTCACAAGGACCACTTGCAGGATTACATTCACGGTTGTTTTTTCATGAATGAAAACAAATATATGTGTCCCAGGATATGTTGCAGGATCCAATCTGGGTCAGTCACTGCGACCAGAGGTTTAGTCTTCTGAGTTTTTGTGCTCACGTTGGAGCCCAATAGCTTGGAAGAGAGAAATTCCCTAAAGACGGTCACCAGCGTTAAGTCCGAAAGCTCAGAAGACAAAACCTCTCTGGTCCTGGTGATCGACCCAGATTGGATGGACGTTCTTTGTTCAACTGGCTAGTGACCTTGAATAATATTCCAGCCATATGTAATAATCAGCACCACCAAAATTTAAGACTGCTCTAAATGATTACCTGTTTGGTAGAAGGTAACCCTAAGAGTAATTTCTTACTTTTTTACAGGAGCTCCCCAAGTGATCACTTCTTGATGGACCTTGGTTCTTTTCCACAAAAAGGGTTACAAAGTCTTCAAATGTGGTCTCTACAGATAATTATTGTTGAATTGCAATAATTTGCTTAGTGATCGTTTGAGGTTACAATGGCACTGAAAAAAATGACTTATGACTTGTTTTTTCATAGTCATGACTACTGCAGCATTCCCGTAGTCATATGATCAAACTTGGATGATTGGCAGCTGGCTTGTAGTTATTTATTTATTTAATAACGGTTTTTATTTTTTTATATACAATGAATCCATTCCATTTCAACCATGTGTCTATCAGGTGCATATTCTGTGTGCTTACAGTTTATGATTAATACTCTCCTTATTAATATAACAATAATCACATTTTCATAAGTAATATCCAATATATCTATTTTTAACAATTTTCTCTTAATTGCTTCATATATTCATCTAATCCATTTTAATTTGTTTTCTTTTCTAACCATTGATAAAATAAATCCCATACCATGTAGTATTCAGATTCTTCTTTTTC